AATACTCAATGATAATGACAACCATATTCGCAAGTTCAAGTCTAGGAGTTGAAAATTGCCTCGAGTAAATCCGAATTAATATAGTCCCATTTTTTCACTGTGCCATCCAGAGAAGCAGAATACAACTAACATAACACGAAAATAAAAGAATTCTTTAATGATAAAGTAACAATTGTAAATTAGAAGACACTCATAATTCTTACTTGCGATGAATCAGCCGGATTTAAAATTATGCAAGTAATTTCATCTTTATGACCATTTCTTTCTGGAGATTCTGATATTATTTTGACCACATCGCCGGTTGCTACATTATAAACTTTGATGGTGTTTGAACAAGCACAAAAAAAGTATCTAAGTGTAAAAAATAAAACAAGTTATTCGTGTTGATTTAACTATTTTAATCATTCTTTAAAAAATTCTTCAATTTCGCTAGTCCACTCCAATTTTAGGCATTTCAATATGGAATGTTGAAAAAGAAAAAAAAAAGAAATGCAAAAATTTTCATTGGATCATAAATTATGTACTCCAATAAAAAAATTATGAGCACCCACTTCGAATCTGCTGAGAAAACCCCCGGCAATCTGGTCAAGCATCCACCTGATATCCGTTCGATTTCAAATTCACAATCTTTAACCGACTTTAAAATATCTCTATGAAATTTGTCCAGCGTTATAACACCACGATTAATTACTCGGTGACTTGTGCGGAGATCCTTCTTAGAACTATCATTAAATTTATCCTTGGTATGATTAACGCGCTTTCCTTTTTCATACGGAGCCTGAACCGTAGATTGTCCACGCGTCCCTTTTTTCTCTTTCACCATGACCCGAAATTACACGAACAAGTTAAATTTTTTTTTTTGGTACCACTATTACAAATATGGATAATTTTTCTAGGCATGATGTCACGTTATACATAAATTTGGATATTACATTAATCAAAACCTATTAATAAAACAGAATAATACATACAAACTCAAGAAAAAATATAATATTTTTTATATAATAGAAGACATATTATAAAAGAATAATATCTTTTATATGCAAGTGCAATAAATTAAATGTTAGCTTATCTATAGAAACTATAATATTAATATTAAGATAAATTTTAAAACAATATATTTATTAAATATATTAAATAATTATAGATATCTATTTAAAATTTAAAATTTAAAATTTAAAATTAAAATAATTGAAGATTAGTTTGAGAATATAATTAAAAAAAGTATAACCATAGTAAATAAAATATTTTTATAATTATAAAAAATAAATTAAATAAAAGTTACTATATATTTTATAATATATTAACTAAAAAAAATTTATATATAATTGTAATCTGCAATTAATTAATAAAAGCCGCACATGTATCACACTTAGCCCCCCCCAAAAAAAAAATTTATATATAATTTTGATATTTAGATTTACTTTAAATTTACTAATTAAAATAATAATATATTTGTTTTATTAATTACAATAAATAAAAAGAAAAATTTGTGTTTTTTCATAAAAGTCTTTTCTTGTTTCTATTGAATCATTACTAATTTTTTTTAAAAAAAATTTAAATTTATAATAATAATATAAAAAATTTAATTATTATTAATTCAAAAAATTTTATAAAGCTTATATTATTCAATATAAATAAAATATTTTTATAAAAATTAATTTCAATTTGTAATTAATTAATAATAAAATTATTTTTTAAATTAATTTATTATAATTTTATTTCTAATTTTTATTCTTTAATACAAATAAATATATTATATATCTATTTTTTTTATATATTTTTAAAATTTTTTAAAATAAAATATATAAAATTTATAAAATTTATTTAATTTTAAATTTGAATTTGAATATTGATTTTTAATTCAAAATAAATATTTTTTTTAGATTTTTTAAATAATAAATTATTGATAGATTATAATTAATAATTAGATTTTCTAAAAAATATAAAAGTTTAATAAAAAAATATATAAATATTAATAAATAAGAATTTGTAATAAAAACTTTAAAATAAATTTGAAAGTTTTTTTATTGATTTAAATTTAAGATAAAATATATCTTTAATAATCAAATAAAATAAATGATAAATTATTAGATTTTTAATAATAATTTATTAAAGAGATCTAATATTTATAAAAATATTATTAATAATTTGTGAAAAAAATAAATAAAAAAAATTTTTTTTTTAAAACCTATGGATCTATAATACAGTCCCAGGTTTCTAAACACATGTCTCTAATTTAATACCTATAGGAAACAAATGTATAAAAATATCCTTTATTTGTAAATTTACTGATTTTCATATAGATATTATATCTAAATATTCAGATTTAATCAAAATTAGTTAGGCTGTATAAAAATAGGACTTCTGGTCTTTTTAATGATCGTAGGCTAAATACAAGTTGAAGCAGAAAAGATTGCATAAGAAAAGGTTTCTGATCTAATTCTAATAAAAGTCCATAATCTCTTTTGACATAACAAACTCCATAGTATAAAGAATATTCTAGCTTGGAGCTATTCCAATCTGGCACTTGCTTAAAAGAAGAAGACTCTAAAAAGGAAATTTGAAGTTACAAGTGATAACAAAGAATATAATATCTTTTTTAAGAAACTAGATAAAAAGTATTTAGGATATCTGATGTTCTAATCATTCCTATAAGATATATTAGCTCCTTTACTCTATTGGATTAACAGGTTTAAATGATTTAAAACTAATGATAGGATTTCTATTTCCTGGATTAATTTCACCTAATGTGTGGATATATCTTTATAGTATAAGTTTATATAGTTGGATAATTAAGATAAATATATAAGCTGTTACTAAAAATAGTCAATAGACAGTGTTAATTCTATATATAGAAAACATAAAAATATATCTGAAATTGATTATATGTAAAAGACACTTGATATCAAATCTAAATATTAATTATTAATAAAGATTTGTATTAATGCATATTTACTTTAAAAAAAAAAAAAAAGTTTTTTTTTTTTTAATATAAATGAATATTAAATACGAGATGTTTATTAAACTTTAGTTTATAGTCATTACATTAAGAATCCTATACCACTTATTTGTAAGAGTTAATCATAACCTATTATATTGTTAATCCAACTATATAAACTTGTTTACTACTTGAGTAGGTTTATATATCGGATGAAACAAATTCAAGGATAAAAAATCCTGCCACCAGTTTAAACCCACCTAACCTGCTAAATTCAGATTCAACAACCTTATAACTGTTCATTGTCAAAGAGTATATATCTTACAAGATTTTATTTAAAATATTCAGATAATCTAAATATTTTTCACCTGATCTCTTGAAGAAAATACTGTACTCTTTGTCACCACCTGCAACTTTCAGTTATATCAAGTATATATTCAAGATATTATCTTTTTTTTAAACAAGTATCAAATTGGAATAGTTCCAGATTAGAGTATTCTTTATGTTATGGAGTCTGCTATACTAGTTGGGATTATGGACTTATATTAGAGTTAGGTCAGAAGTCTTGATCATTTAACCTTTCTTGCTTCAACTTGTTTTTAGCCTGCGATCATCAGAAAGACCAGAGGTCCTATCTTTATACAGCCTAACTAAATTTGGTTTGGATTCAGATGTTTAAAGTATAATACAGAGGCCTACCATAAATTTACGGACAAAATATATAATATATAAAAAATTTTTTTTTATTTAAATAACCACGGCT